GGGCGTGTATTAACTATACTCATTCTTGTAATCTTCATAAATTGTAGTAGGTCATTGGGATTAGAAGGTAGCCAGGGCTTCTCCCAGTGTAATATACATGGCCATTGGTCATAGGAAAATGATAAAAACAATGAAAAGTAAAGTATACCCACCAAAATTATGAGATTTTACTTCTGATGCATGGTGTCAATGAAGCCACAATAGAGAGATGGCTGCTATAATTTTTGGTGATAAAAATTAGGAAAATTTAAGGAAGAGAGAGTTAGGACAAGCTTCACCACCCAGATTTGGGAGGGTTCCAGGGTTTATGGATTGGGTGCTCAAAAAGCAGCCAGGAGTTGGTGAACAGATTTTCAGAGTGTTTAGACTTAGGGAGAAAAGTAGCAATCATTTCAAATGATCTATGTTGCTTATGAATGAGCCTTTTGTGAGGGGGTGATAATGGAAGATATACCATTCCAGGGTATGCAACAAAAACCAGAAAACTTCTCTGCTTAGTAGTAACTATGACAAAGCAGCAGAATATCTTGATAAATAAAGACCAAGAAGATTTATTGTTAACAGACTTTCACTACAAAAAATGGTAAAGGAAATTCTTTAGGCTGGAGGTAAATGATAGAGATGGATACAGTTCTATAGGAAGTAATAATTAGAAAACATATAAGAAACTATGAAAGGTCATATTTTCCTCTTAATTTCTACAAAAAATATATGACTATTTGAGGCAAAAATCATAAAGATGTAGTATAGTCATCAAAATCCATGTGAGATATAATACATATGACAGCAATAGCACCAAGGATGGAAGTAAGTAGAACCACATTGTTGCGAAGTTCTTACATTTTACTTGATATAGTACAATATTACATAATACATAAGGAGACTATGATAAGATAATGGTGCATATTCTAATGCCTAGAGAAACCACTAAATATTGATGTAAAGATATATAGCTAAAAAGCCAGTAGAGAAATTAAAACAGAATATAAAATATATTAAATTAACTTAAAAGAAGGTAGAAAGAGATGAACAAAAGAGATATAGCACAAATAGAAAATAGAGAGCAAAATGGTAGTGCTAAATCCAACCATATTATAATTATACCAGAGGCCTGGTGCACGGAAAGGGGGGGGGGGGGGGGGGGGGGGGTCGTTGGCCTGTGGGGATCAGGCCGAAAACGGCTCTCCAATATCCCCTGAGGGGTCCGGATTATAAGAGGGAAGTTCTTGGGTGACGCACCCTGGAATTGGGCTACCTCCTCTCTAGTTCCAGGTGCATCACCCAAGAACTGAGAACCACAGCTTCCAAGTCACTGCAGCTTGGCAGCTCCTGCATTGAGCATCTGCCCCCTGGTGGTCAGTGTGCCTCATAGCTATCGGTTGGATGGTCAAATGGTCAGATGGTCACTTAGGCTTTTATATATATACTAGAGGCGCGGTGCACAAAAATTTGTGCACTTAGGGGGGAC